AGGCGATAGGCCTGTCCCTTTCAGTTGTGTACATGTACCTGTACCCACAGCTCGTGGGACATAAGCTGCAGGCCTGAGGGGCACACCGACTCTGCCTAGGACTTGCCTTGTTCTGGCAGAGACCTTGGCCTGGAACCCTAGGTTTGGGACCCGCTGGATAGGTAAGGAAGGAGCCCTGGTGGCACAGTGGTTAAACGCTTGGTTACTAACTGAAAGGTCAGCAGTTTGAACCACCAGCTGCTCCAGGGGAGAAAGACCTTGCGATCTGCTTCCATAGAGATTTCAGCCTTGGAAACCCTATGGGGTAGTTCTGCTGTGTCCTGTAGGGTTGCTATGAGTCAGAATCAACTCAGTGGCGATGGGTTTGGTTTTTTGGTTTTGCATAGGTGAGGAGTGGGTCAGGGAAGGCAGAAAACCCCACACATCTAAGAGCAGAATAGACCAGGATCCCAAACATGAGATGGTTTACCAAAGGGGCTAAAGTGGCCCTCGGTCAGTGTCCCCTCCCCTCATGTCCCTGGAGTCTCGCTGCCCTTGCACCTGCCCACGTGGTCGTAGCTGAAGTCTCGAGACTGCAGGGAAAGTACACAGAGTGGCAGCCAAGGACGTTACTTGTGGAGGGGCAGCCCTCTGTGGTGCCGTGGCCCTGAGTGTGGCTCTGGGCCAGCTGTGGCTGAGTGTTAAACCACTGTGCCCATAGGGGGGTCCTCACTGGGCCCCAGATGGCTGATGTGCCCGCCTTTTCTCTATGTGAGCCAATCTTCATCTTCAGCGTGGCTGGTCCGTGCACCCGCACAGCTATGCACAGTGGTGGCCCTGGAGTCCCCCAGGGCCACCTGGCTGACTCCTGGCAGAGAACACCCTAACACATGGCTCGTTAGTAACAGTGAGCCCCGGGTACTCCTCTCCTCTCCGGCTTTGTCTTTGGGCCATTTGCTTTCTGGCTTCATTTCAAGGGTCTCCCAGAGAAGGTAAGAGGAGGCCAAATGTGGCCCATCCCAGCCAGAGCCCGGGGCCCAGGAAGACTTAGGACTAGGAAAGTGGGGAGGGGCGTGCTTTGCTGACTGAGTGTGCTCCTCTCCTGGTTAATTGGGGCGTGGGAGATGAGAGAGATGCCGGGAGAGGCTGAGATTCTGGCTTGGCTCTGCCGTTCCACCCGCTCCAGGCCAGCGGCGTAAGGTGGTCAGAGGAAGGCAGGGGGCAGGAGTGAAGGACGCCCCCTCCTCAGGCCTTTAGTGAGCCTACCACGTGCTAGGGGTGGTACACGCATTGGGAAATGGAAATGAAGCTTCCTGGGGTATGGCTGTGGCCAGCCCCATT